TTAAAAAAAAAAAGGAGGAAAAAAAAAAAAAGCCCATATTTGGGCAGCGCGAATTGGGGGAAAGCGAGGAGAATCCCCACCTATAAATTCTGCACTCTAAGAGGGGCGAAACGGCCCCGTCTCCCCCCAGGCCCCCCCCATCCACGCCGACGGCGAACTTCAAAGGGCCACAAATCAAGCTAAATCAAAGAGGTGAAAAAAAAAGAAAAAAAAAGAAAAAAAAAAGAGAGAGAGGGAGAGAGAGAAAAAAAAAAACCGAGAGTCCCCTTTCAGAAAAAAAAGGAAAAATATTTTTTTTCTTATTATTATTTTTGATGCCTTCCGACATGAGTTCTTACGTGGGCAGCTCGCTGTACAAGCAGAGCCCCCCCGCTGCCGCCTATGCCATGCAAAGTTATGGAAATTATGGAAGTGTGGCGGAGGTTCAGCCCTCCAGGTACTGCTACGCTGGCTTGGACCTAAGCACCCCGCTGGCACCCGCGGGGGCTTCCAGCTCTCTGCACCCTCTGGACATGGCTTCAAGCCCCCCCGAGCGACCTCCGTGCACGGTGCTGGGCTCTCCGGGGCATCCTTTATCCCGAGAGGAACCTTTAAACCCGGGGATTTACAGGCAGAAGAGTAACACGGCGCTGGAGGAGCGAGCTAAGAGCACGGGCGACATCAAAACGGAACCCGTGCCAACGAGCCAAGCGGGAGGACCCCAACTGCAGCAGCAGCAACAACCTCCACCAATTTACCCGTGGATGACCAAACTGCACATGAGCCATGGTAAAACCAAAAAAAAAAAAAAAAAAAGGAAAAAAAAACTTGCGCTTCTTGATTTTGTTTCACAGGATTTTTTTTTTGCCTCGGTTTTATAGGCCATGCGGGGCAAATAATAAAAAAAACCCGAGGTCGTAAATTTTACGACTAAGGCATCAATTGCTCGTAAAACTGTCCACTAAAAGGCTTAGAGGCTATATACGCCCAAATTTATGACAGCATAATTGGATCATAGAAACAAAACGTGTATAAAAGGCAATATTCCATTTTTTGGGGAGGAGGGAGAAAAGGGGGGGGTTAGAAATAACTTGAAATACACATGTTCTTAAAGCCTTGAAAAAAATGAACCCAAAGAGAAGGTGGAGAGGGAGAATCACGGTCGTGTATAAATTTCCCCCCTTCCACCTTCCCAGGGTTGAGGATTAAATAAATAAATAAATAAGCGATCGCTAGAGAAAAGGAAGGAGAAAAGGGGATATTTCCCTCCCTTTGTACACTTCCTTATTGTTTGAGAGGAAACAGGTTCACTTCTGGCTAATCTACATGCGTTTGATCTTTTCTTAAAAATAAATAAATAAAGGGAAGGAGGGGGTTGGTGGTGTGGGGAGAACTTTAATCTAAAGGTGTTGGAGAATGAAGAATTTCAGCTCCCTCCCAACCTTCCTCTGCGGTCAGAGGAAAGAAATAAAAAGCAACTGCCCGAAGTGTGCAAGAAAACTTCAGCCTATTTTCTCTCTTTGAATATTTTTAAAATTATTTTTAAAAGAGGGGATAACCTGCATCCTGATTTTAGCCTTGAAAAATGAAATTTCTAAGAAAAAAAAAAGAAACAAAACAATCAGAAAAAAAAATCCATCATTGCTTTGGCTATTCATGTGGTGTCTCTCATTTTCCAGAAACAGATGGCAAACGCTCCCGAACCAGCTACACTCGCTACCAAACTCTGGAACTCGAAAAAGAATTTCATTTTAACAGATATCTCACCCGGCGGAGGCGCATTGAAATAGCCAATAACCTGTGCTTAAATGAAAGACAAATCAAAATCTGGTTCCAAAATCGGAGGATGAAGTGGAAGAAAGATTCCAAATTAAAAAACAAAGAGGCTCTTTAAGGGAAAAAAAGGGAGGGGGGGAAGAGGGGGAGGTCTAGATGAGGGTCGAAATATTGAAATCTTGACACCGGTTTTGTTGTGATTTACATGGCGAAAAGTTTGTTTTCTTCTCTTTTTTTATTTGGGGGAGGGCGGGGAGGGGAGTGCTGGATGGATGCAAACCCTCGCAAATCCGTCAGACAAAGGAGGGCTCTGATTAGTATGCAAAAATGATGGAAAAAAAAAATACCCAGATCCTGCTGTTAGCTTCATGCTAAAAATTTGGTGTATCTCTCTTTAGATTGTTATTAAGTATCTTAACCTGTGCGTTCGGGGATACTATTTTATTTTCTTTTTCTGTTTTTCTTAAGTGGGGGGAGGACGGGGAATCACCATGATACTGCTCAAAACCGATATGAAAATATGCATATGTAGTGTGTATATATATATATATCAATCTCCAGGGTGACTGGGTCATGGGCTATCAGCTGTAAAATGGCAATATCTAAAGCAAGCATATATGGAAAATGGCATTATTCATAGCACAAAGGAGCAGAAGGAGGTAAAAAAAGGGGGGCGAGGGGCAAAAAAAAAATCCCTCCTCCGAAAGAAACAATAAAACCAACACAACAACAAATGCCAAGTAAGTTATCTGAAGTCCCAGACTTTTACTGTCTGGTCGCCCTTGGGGGAGAAGGAAATTGCTGCTCTGTTTCGCCTGGGTGGGAGGCAACATCTGCCCGATGGGATGGTGCGGAGGGAGGGGATGCTCTGACACCTCCACTTCGCTTTCTGAAGTCGGAAAGAAAATATTTACCCGTGGTGGGGGGTAGGAAAAAAAAAAAAAGCGGGGGGGGGGCCCCGGCTGCTTTCCTTAAATGCACTTGTCCCGAGACTTAGCAAAGAGGGAAAAAAGAAAAAAAAAAAAAAAGGATGGGGTTTCCTTTGGGTTGGGGGAGTCTTGAAGGGTGTTTTTTTGTTTGGTTGGTTTTTTCCTTGCATATCGAAGCAGTAAATAGACGAGGGATCCCGAAATCTTCGCACAGGGTGTGTGTGGGGTTCAGCATGGGAGGGAGAAAAGACCCTCTGGACCTAATATTATTGTGTATTTATTTGTTGCATAATTAATGTCGAACCGCTAAACGCTACAAAAAATATATTAAAAAAGAGACAAGACGACCCCAGATCTGTACATCTTTGCGGAAATTCGGCCTATTGCAGTAAATTGGGGTGGTTTAGTATTGTTATTATTAATAATAATTTCCTTGCTATAACGCACTTGCTGTATTTACTGGGTGCCCTTTCCGTGCGCGAAAGGACGGGGCAACTTCTAGCTGTTCCTATCGAATAAAAGGCGAATGACTACCCTGAAAAAAAAAAGAAAAAGAAAAAAAAAGTTTGCGTGCCGGGCAGAAGTTTTTCCTCGCTCCTTCTCCGTCTCGAAGTAGCTTTCGGGTCCTTCTGCTACTTTTGTTTTATTATTAGTTGTATATATATAAATATATATGAAGGTCTTGGGGGAGAAGATGTTGGAGGGGGTTCTTTAGATTCCCCCTCAAAAAAAAAAAAAAAAGTACTAGCTGTTATTCCTCTTTGTCAGAGGTGCATAGGGAGGTGCTGGGGGGACGTTTTCTATTGTATGTGATTTTTAAATGTATTTCTTAACTCCTCTGTGGGCCTTTTTGAGCGCTCCGGTGAGCGGCTCCCTCCCATAGACTGGTGATAGCTCAGCCAGCACTTAAGCACTTAAGGCTGGGGAGGGGGGGTTCTCGCCGGGCAGATGGCATTTTCATAGCAATATCGGGTTAAAAATACCCTCTCTCTCCCTCTCTCTCTTTCTCCCCCCCTCTCCTCCCTCCCTTTCCCAAATGTGTAGCCGGCAGGAAACTTTTTCTGCCCCAAAGCCTCGCGGCCGCTTCTCTTTCGGCAGGTTGGGCAGCACCTGGACCCGGCCAAGGAGTTCCCGGTGTGGAGGTGACGGGGCTGGGACGGGATCGGGCCGGGGGGCTGGAGTTTGGGGGGTTCCAAGCCTTGTTGCACCCCCTAGAGAGCCAGGAAAACCGCCCGAGGACGGGGGGATTTCAGGAGGAGGAAGAGGAGGGGAGGAAGCAGCATCTTCCCTCGGGCCTGGGGCTGGTAACATGCTGCCTCCTCTGCTTTCTGCGGGAACAATGACCCGAAACCCTTATTATTATTGTTATTATTATTATTAACATTACTGTTATTATTATTATTATTTGTCTATTATGATTTATTGCCCCCTTTTCGCCCCAACGCCGAAGGTCTCGCGCGGGCGCCTTGGGGCTGGGCGTGCAAATCCCGCGGGCATACCTACAGGCCCTATAGAGCTATACCTATAACACCTATAACGGGCCGTACATCGCCCGCAAGCCCGTGCTAAGGCGCATATATGGCCCCCCTCCCCCCTCCATAGGCGCGGGTGTGAGAAAACGGGGGCGGAGGGGGCGGATATGGACTACATGCGCGCCCATACATCTGGGCAAGTTATACCCACTCGGAGCCTCTAATAGACGCATATAAGTGAGCTGGCGTATTTGCATATATATATACACACACATATGCGCACGCACACACACGCATATCTATTTATATATACGTTTATTTCGTGCATGCCTCCGTGCACACCAGACACGCACACCCAAGGCCATTCCTCATCCGCCCCGCGAGCGCTTTACTGTCGGAACAACCGCCGGGCGAAAGCCTATAAGCTCCATAAAACTTTATAGGATTTCCTTTACACGTCGAAAACAATGGAACAATTTCCTGAACCAGAGAACAAAAGTTTCCCTTTGCAGCAGCAGCTCCTCGGTGGCTTTTAAGGGTACAATTAGCACAGCGTGTTCCAGCGAGGGCATCTCCCTCGCTATTACCCGAGGCACACGGAACAAGCTTTTTTTTAATTATTATTATTTGTTATTATTATTATTTATTTGGGATTTATGAGGTTGTGGCGTGGTGATTCGGCTAGCGGCGATCCGCAAAAATAACAACATCAAAAAAAAATCTTTTCGCCTCTTCCCTGGGCCCTTTAATTCCGTTGTTATTTAACAGTCAGTCGAAAATCCTGATTTCTTTCTTTCTTTCTCTCTCTCTCTCTCTATGTATTCCTTCTGTCTGAACTGTCACTTTTACATCCAGCTGGAGTGAAATACTGCAAAGCAAAGCCATGCTCGTGTTGTACATTTATTTTTCTGCCTGAACTGCTTATTTATTTATTTCCCCCCCTCCTTCACCACTGGGACTGGGGGAACTATTGGGGCCTATGGAGGATTCTCGGAGGACTCGCTAGCGGTTCCACTCATTCTCGTTTAGGAGGATTTTATTTTTTTTCCCCATGCTGGGTAAATCTATTGACTGGTTGCTCAGGCACAAAAAATCTCTTAGTCTGTGCTCGTTATTCCGTCCTGGTTTCTCTTAAACAAGCTCTCGCTTCCCCCCTTGCTGTTATTACTGCAGCTTCTCTTTAATATTCTCATTATCCTCGCTCCTACTTTTGCACTCTAACAGCACCGTGGCTTTCTTTTTTTACCCCATAAGTTGTCAAGGCGTTTTGGGTGGGGGGATTTTTTCTTGGGGAGTGTCGAGGCAAGGGTTAAGCAACTCCGAACCACTCGTGTTTTCTCGGAGAGGACCAAAGTAGCGCTGGAAACCCCAAACTTTTGCCTTTCCCTCGTGCGGAGCAGACGGGACTGACTTATGATGAATTATTCCCTTATCTTGCCTTGGGAAGGGGGGTCATGGGTCTCCCTGAACCCCTTATCCCTGTCTTCTTTAGAGAACATCTATATCTATATATACATAGATATATTTATTTGCCCTCGGGCCTGGTTTATGTTTGGTGGATGTTGTTGCTGCTGCTGTCTTGAAGGAGGGTGGCTTTTTTTTTTTAACTATTATTCTTATTCATTTCTTGAATTTCCCCTCTCGGCTGCTCAATCCCTTCCCAAAGACCTCTGTGGAACAAGAAGAAATAGAAAAGGACTTACCTTGCCCCGTCAATCCGTGTCAACCCAGAGAGAACTTAAAATGGCCCCAAAACAACAAACAAGCCAAAGTTCCATTTTTTATATAGATAGATAGATAAATCCAGGCCTCTTTTTGTTGTTGTTGTTAAAAAAATCAAGTACAAAACAAAACAAAAAAAAGCAAAGATCTTTTAGTTTCACCGAGAACATGAGAACATTAGCAGAAATACTCATGGCTTCTATGCGAATTTAGTAGTTTAAAACTTTTGAAGGTTATTTATGTGGATGGCCCTAAGCAAAAGCCCTGAGTGGCTCCCCGCGAGCACGTGGTGTCATTAAACTAAGTTTTATGGTTTGGGGGAGCTGACAAACCCACAATATATTTACATCATATATAATGTTAACTGTCCAGCATCGCAGCTGCTCGAGCTGTTTAACGGCGGGACAGCGGGACCGGGCGCTTAGTGCGGAGAGCGGCGGCTCCGCTGCGGCGCCCGCGGGATCCCCGGCGACCTCCGTAAGTTGCTCCGAGATCTCACTTCCCTCTGGGCTTTATTTGTCCCTATTAAAAAAAAAAATCTGGGACGCGGGAAAAAAATATATAAATATATATGTGTCTATCTATGACGTGGAGGTGGGGGGTAAGGCGCTGCTGGAGGTGCACAGGGAGGAATTGGGGGGGTCTTGGTTGCTTTTTTGGCTGGTTTGGAGCACTTT